TTATTATTATTACTAGAATAAAAAAAAACATAGTTACACTATAAATAATAAAATTAATAAAAATAATATCTAGCTTTATATTATTACTAGAAAACCTATTATGTTATAATTATTTCAAATTATAATAATAAAGCCTGAGTAATAATAAAGAATTTAAAATGTCATGGCTCCACTGTGGTCTCACTAGCAGAAGACTGGATGTGGAGGATGCTGGGACTTGTAGTCCTGTGTTGGCTGTGTGCTGCTATGTGGACGCTGGGATTGCTGGGACCTGTGGTGCTGCACTGACATATGAATTACCACTGTGATTACTTGTGACTGGATTCCTATTTTGTGAATGATAGAAACTCTGACCTCTGCTGGTTATATGTGTCCCTTCCGCCCGCTGTGTCCTGTGTCCTGGGTGCTCTTTTTTTTTTTCCTTTTTAATAAAAAAAAGTCCCCTGTGCCCAGATTCTGGGTGCGGCTCTTTTTTTGTTTATTTTAGTTTATTTTTATTTCATTTTTTCATTTATTTTTTTATCTTTTACTTAATTTTTTGGTTTATTTTAATTGTATTTTCTGTTATCATCATCTACATAGTCAGTGGTCTGCACACAGTGCTCTCTGCCTCGTCTGTGTGGCGTCGCATTTCTGCTCCCCCTGCACGCGCCCCTCCGATGAGCTCCAGGAAAATGAAGCCGTCGTCAGGGACACAAAGCCCCTCCGCTGTCTCCTGGCTGGTCACATGACCCTGACAGTCAGCATGTTGGTGAGAGATGGCAGCAGGTACGGCTGAGAGGACAGAGAAGGGGGGGATTCTGATCCTATGCACCCCCCTATGTCCTCATTTCGGGGATCACATTCAGCTCCTGCCCCGCTGCCCACATTCGATTGGCATTAAATGGGAATATACCGTTCTCTTATCGCCGGCAATACTCCCCCCATGGCTGCCAACCGTCCCCAATCTGCAGGAAAGGGTCAGATTTGACCTTGGCACCCCGGGGGCGGTGCACGTCCCACTTCATACACAGTAAGGACCTCCCACTTCCAGACATCGTTCCCAGTAAGGACCTCCCACTTCATACCCACTCCACACATCATTCCCAGTAAGGACTTCCCACTTCATACCAACTCCATTCATCATTCCCAGTAAGGACTTCCCACTTCATACCCACTCCACACATTGTTCACAGTAAGGACCTCCCAGTTCATACCCACTCCACACATCATTCCCAGTAAGGACCTCCCACTTCATACCCACTCCACACATCATCCCCAGTAAGGACCTCCCAGTACATACCCACTCCAGACATCATTCCCAGTAAGGACCTCCCACCTCATACCCACTCCACACATCATTCCCAGTAAGGACCTCCCAGTTCATACCCACTCCACACATCATCCCCAGTAAGGACCTCC